AAATGGTTTCAGCTAACAGAGACAGACAGGAGGTCTGCGTCACTGTGATGTGTAGTTACATTTCTGGGGAGGTGCACGTCAGGCTACAGAGTAATGTACGGTGTCGATTTGACACAGAAGCATAAATCCAGCTTAAGTGTCCTACATGAGACTCTTACGTCTTCCTCTCCCTCAGACCTCCAGCAGCCAGAGTCCACGGGCAGTGTGAACCCTCTGGAGGGAAACTCCCAGCTGGGCTGGGAGGAGCAGGGAGCCTGCAGTGGAGCTGAGCTGCAGGACTCGTGTGAGGACTCGGCTCCACTTCTCCTGGACAGACTCCACTCGCTGGCTGAAGCCGAGAAACTGTTTGACGAGCTGACGCAGGAGAAACTGCAGGTGAGTGTGTGTGAGACGAGCTGACTCGTCACATCACACACTGCGTCGTTTCCACCTGTCAACCAGGACATTTCTTATTCACTCAGCAGAGGACATTTAGTGTTTAAGGAGGCGCGTACCTCCGACACTCGGGCCACAGCAGTACGACTGTAATCCCCACCTGACCTCTTATGTAACTCAGACTTCATTGTTTTTATGCTGCTTCTAAATGACTTCTATTTTTAGGACGTTCATGTCCACATCCCCTTTAACCCCTCCCTCTGCCCTGGTCATACAGGGACATCTGCCTCCCCATTTACACACACACACACACACACACACACACACACACACACACACACACTAATCTGATGAGTTCAGTCAAAGTGTTTCAACCAGTCATGTGCTGGTCGTTGCATCAATGTAATTTTTGTTGTTAATAAATGATTAACCTTTATTTGTGTGTGTGTGTGTGTGTGTGTGTGTGTGTGTGTGTGTGTGTGTGTCTGTCTGTCTGTCTGTGTGTGTCAGATTGAGGCAGCTTTGAGCCGGATGCCTGGAGCAGGCGGCAGAGTGACTCTACAGACCAGGTTAGATGAGGTAAGACATAAGATATTGATCATGTTCATATCATTTTTTTCCATGTTCATTTGTGATTACAGCTGAAATATTAGTAGATTATTTGTAATATTTTAAGCAAAAACACCCAAATTTCACTTGTTCCAGTTTTTCTAATGTGAAGATTTGCTGCTCCCACTCAGGCAGCAAGGATTACTTTCAGTTGTGATTAATGTGGTCAGGGGAACTGCAAAGTCAGTAGGATTCATCCTCTGGGGATCATGAATATCTGATCCAAATATTACTTCAGTCCACTTAATAAGTGTTGAAATATGTTCAGTCTAGCCCAAAGTGAGGGACTGACCAACTCAGCTTTATTTAGTTATGCAATTATTTAGCCAAATGAAAACAACACAGAAAAAAAATAAAGAAAATAAAAAATACTATAAATTATACATAAAAACATTTAAATACATTGAGCAAAACTATAAATGACAACAATAAGATAATAAAATGTTAAAATTCAATTAACCTTGCACCGATTTATCAGCAGTGCTCGGAATCGGGCCGGTTTTCACGTGATCGGCCATGACCTGCGACCAGCCGGTCAGTCTAAAATATGCCGATTTAAAACGCCGGTCAAATTCCCGCCGCACCGCATGATTGACATCGTGTAACATCAGCAGCGCACACACACGCACATGTACAACTCACGGCTTGGGTGATGTGAGGAAGTGAAACACGGACGGCTTCTCACCTTAAACATTTCACGCACACACATCAAAAGAGAGAAAGTTGTTAATTGTCCGTGTTAAACTGAACGGTGGAGCTCTCACTGCTGCACTGTGCCGCTTGAAGGCGCGTGTCTGTGCGCTTACTGGCGGGCGTGTCCTAAAGACCTGTGTGAATTTTCCACAGGAGATATTTTTACTTTTTTGTCTATTCAAGAAATTACCCACAAAAGCTATACACCAAGAAATATTATTTTATTTATCCATGTTTTTATTTATGTATGCCTTTCTTACTTATTTATTTTAATACTGTACCTGAAGTTATATTTGGGCAAAAAGGAAAATGTTTCTTAACCTGTGTCACTGTTTTTGGTTTGTTTGTTTGTTTGTTTGTTTGTTTGTTTGAGATGATGATTGAAAAGCTGGTTGTATCTTGGTTAAAAATGTTCTAATAAAGACAAGATATAAAATATTGCAATATCTTGTGTGCTGTAAAGTGGTTTGAAACAAATGAAATCGGAATCGGCTGTCCAAACACTCGGAAATCGGGATCGGCCCAAAAAATTGTAATCGGTGCAAGTCTAAATTCAATAAATAAAAGTCAATACATTTAAATATACATTAGGGATGAAAATATAGTTTAAAAAAATAATGATTAAACTCAAAAAACTAACGCGGAAGTGCAGCCTGCAACGAGCTGCCGTGTAGTGACTGGAAAGGTGCAGCGGCTGCAACCGTTAGATCCATTCATTCTCATTCAGGGCGCCCTATTTAAACTGCTGTGGCCTGCCTCCTGTTGGTGCTTCCTCTGCAGGCCACTGTGCAACCTGCCTCCACCCCAGCTCCTCCTTTTCATGCTGTGTCTGACTTAATGTCATTTCTGTTTGTCATTGATGCTGCTCTGTTCTGTTCCTGGGGGGTCTTTGCTCCTGCTCTCCCTGCCTTAGGCTTTCCATGTAGGCGCATGGAAGGGCAGAGAGGTTTGTTTTCTGCCTTGAGGCTTTCCATGTAGGCGCATGGAAGAGACTTTCCGCGTAGGCCCAAGGAAAGGCAGAGGCCCCAGAACAGAGCCATACTACCAAATATAATATTGCAAATGGAAATAAAGTTTTCTTTGACTAAAGTGTTCCTGACTGAAATGTAATTATCGTGGTGAGCTGCATTTTGCTTCTGCTTGGTGTGTTTTTTGCATTAAGTCTGTAACATTACTCCAAAAAAAAAAAAAAAACATATTTAAAAGATAGGTCTTTACTTTCCCTTTAAAAACTGGAAAGAATGCTAGTGTGGCTAAAAAGCAGCAAATCTTCACATTTGAGAAGCTGGAATCAGAGAATTTTGGACTTTTTTTGCTTCATAAATGAATGAAATAATTATTACAGTAGTTTCCAGTTAATGTCCTGCCCTTGTGTCCTGCTCAGGTGGCCTTAGAGAATCGTCTGGAGAGACTGAATCGTGAGCTGGGATCCATCCGCATGACTCTGAAGAGATTCCACGTCCTCCGCTCCTCTGCCAACATATAGCAATGTCTGTCTTTTTACATCACAGTGTAGATGCTACAACTTTAGTGTCTTGGTTTTATACACTGCACTGATTGTCTCTCTGTGCCATGAGTCCATCTGTACAGTAACTCATCTTTTTATACGTATTACTCTGGGATATTTTTTATATGTCTGAAAGATATTGCAATTTTATGAGTCTATTTTTAGAAATACACAGATTTGTAAAGTCATTTACTTTTTTAGTCACAGAAATATTAATATGATATGTTTTACTCGCCATATTCAGGTGCAGATTTTTAAAATCTGCTATGTGAATGATCAAAAAGATTTTCCAGCAGAGACATTCATCCACTTGGGAAATATCACTGCCATTTTTGTTCATGTGTTGATGGATATTTTTTTAACATGACTTCAAATGTATTTATTTTATGTTTTTATATGTATTTTACACTTTTATTTCTTTCACATTTTTTTTTTTTGTATTTGTTTTGGGCCAAATTTATCGAACTTGAAGGAAATGTTTGTTTACTTGAATCAAATCGCCTTTTTTCCTTCGTTTACTTTCCATTACTGCTCGTCACTTTCTTTGCTTTACGTTCCATATTCGCTAACAGGACTGGACGCTCCGGATCAGAGCCACTTGTAAAATCCAAACCAGCACACTTTTTCAGCAAACACACACATTTTCAAACAGCCGGTTGTTTCTCCTTCAGCGATGCTTGTGCATGGAATTTCTTGCACTGCTTCCTTTTGCCATGCAGTTTTACTACCAGTCATGATCTTCACTGGAACTATAATGTTGTTGTTGCACAATAAATGAAGCTTTTTTTTTTTTTGATAACTAGAAGTGTTGCTCCTCTTATTATGAATGACTGGTTGATTATTCCCACAGTAAAACAGTCCAAGGATTCTGACGAAACATGTCACACATTAATAGGTGAATTCTTTTGGTCAAAAATTAAGCTATAACTATAAAGGAATTACATTGTAAAATAATTTGTTTTATAGGATTATATGTGTATACTGATTCTATAAAACACCTTGTCCTGAACCAAGTTTGATAACTTAAAAGTTGATTAAAAATCGTATTGTTAATGTAGACAGTTTTATATGTATACACTCTCTGGCCACTTCATTAGGTACATACATACAACACAACATATTCCACCTTTACAAAGTTTAAAGTGGCCAACTTTTGTTGACACTGTCTTAGTTATGTTAATTCAACAATTTGTTTCTTTCTGAGGTGTTTCTGATATTCTTCTGGCTTCATGTTTGTAAATGAGTCAGGTGAAACATCAGGAACACTCCTTATTATAAGACAGTCCAGTTCAACCCCACTGCAGACTATAACCCTAAGAAAAATGATTAAATTAATGCCTCCTATTGTCTTGACTTAGGCAGAATTACTGACCAAACTATTGTAGTGGATGTATTAGATTTTTTTCAGGTGTACCTAATAAAGTGGCCAATGTGTAATACTGAAACTGATAAACTTTAGATGTAAAAAAACAGAAAAGAAAAAAGAAAATTACTTAAAAGTAATTGTGTCTGGGCTTTCACTGCCATCTGATAATATCAGAAGACCATGAGGTTGGCAGGAAAAAAATTTTTAAAAATAATTTTAATAACTAAAAATTGTGGAAAAATGCTATAAAGCTGATCCCAAATAGCTAGGAGAAATTAGGAGGATATAAAGTAATTAAAATAAGCCTCACCTTTACCAACTGCAACATTAAAGTGATGAACACATTAATGCATCAATAAGCCACTGATGTTATACATTATTCTGAAATGGGCCATTTTGCATAATGAGTACTTTTACCTCTGGTACTGTTTTGATGCTTTTGTACTTTGACTTACGTTAAACTTTGGATGCAGGACTTTTACCGGTGACAGAGTATTTTTACACTTTAATATTGCTACTTTTTTTTTTTGAGATTATTGAGATGAGATTCATGACAATACAGAATTAAGGGCATGACAGGTATACATCCTCTTTTCCAACCCATTCCCTAACTAATACAGAACAGAACACGCTCAAAAAAAGAGAATAAATAAAATAAAATAAAAATAAATATATATATGAAAAAAAGAAAAAAGACAAACAAATATTAAAACAGACACAACTAAACAAACAAACAACAACAACAAAAAAAATGAGTAAAGGTTCACAGCATGACAGTTCTCAGGGGTAATAGGTATGTTGAAGGAGATGGAGATGATACAGTCCCCTCCTGAGGGCCCCGGGCCCCATCATTTCCAATGTAGTCCAGAAAAGTATCGCTACCTTTACTTTACCCTTTCACTTTCATGCATACAGGGGACAGTTAGTTAAAGCCATTTTCCTGTATATGCATGGGTTTTGATGCTATAGAGTGGATCCCTGTTTATAAAATGAACCTCCATTTTTTGGTTTTTCATGTCTAAAGAGGAATATAAACACTTAGGGGGAAAAAGCAGTCATAATCCATGCATGAAAGGGTTAAATAAAAGCTTCCTCCACCACTGATAACAGTATTTTTCTGCAGGAATCTCAATGCTTAACGCCTGTATGCGGCTGTTCACCGCTGGGGGGCGCCTTTCTCCCTTGGTGTCCGACAGCAGGATGTCCTGTCTTCTGATGTAACCGCTAACCTGGATATATCATCAGCTACCGGCAGCACACCGACGCTGAGACACCGGACAGGACGTGTTGTTGGATGATGGAGGAGCAGCGGTGAGATCCGTCCACAGCAGCGGGACTCACCAGGCGGACACACCGAGGACTGAACGCTCCGTGCGGGGGACAACAGCACACAGCCACCGCTGACCCTCCACTGCTGAACATAAACACCATCAGGCTGCTCTCCACCGCACTCCGGGAAAATACACCTTTAACTGGCAGCTATGATGCGTTCAGGCTCCGTGTGGACATCCAGCTGAAGAACCGGGACTGCAGATAAACTCCGGGCTGCAGGTGAGTCGCTGATGATGGATGTGTTGTGTACCTGATAACACAGCGTCACCACTAATTAACGCTCAGGTCTGTCATTAATCAGGCACATTGACACCGTGCAAATGTTAATTAATTCCCTGCGTTATTTTGGCAGAGTGAGCTGCAGTGGTCAGGTGGTCTCCATCAGTGTAGCTTTGCTTTGACCAGAGCAGCCGATCAATATGATCCATACATCTGATTCTAATGGCTGAGAATATTATGGTGTGTTTGTGGGCTAAGTTTCATGTATTACTTCCAAGCAGTAAAATTACAGGCTGCATAAACCTCACAGAACACCATGTACAGTTGGTAAAACACATGCAGATCTATCTCTGCATATACCCAGTTTGCATGGGTTTTAAATGGCTGTACTTTTAGTGTGCGTGTCTGTGAGTGACTCCCCTACTAACATACCTCTGTGCACTGTGTATGTACCCTCAAGTTTCCATTGAATATAGTGCACATGTCAAATTATTTTTATTAATTATTTATAAAGCCCAATATCACAAATCACTATTTGCCTCAGAGGCTTTACAGCATATGACATCCCCTCTGTCCTTGGACCCTCACAGTGGCTAAGGGAAAGACTCCCCCAAAAAATCCCTTCAATGGGCCTCAGTTCATCAACATCTGATTAAATGCACCTTATTTAGGAATATGCACGATTGTGAGCTCAGTAAAATCAGAAAACATTCACAACCACAACCTGGATTACTCTACACGACAGGGTCACAACATGGAGGACACACAGTGGTTGATTTTGCTCTTAATTGATGCAGATTTCCTTGTAATCAAAACACCAACAACACCATTAGTCGACAGCCGTGTTAGCACTTCTGTGAAGGCGGCCTGTGCTGTAAGATAAATGCTAATGTTTGCATGAAACTAGACCAAACACTGGACGTGCTTGTAATTTGCAAAAGTGCTCAGGGCTGCAACGAACGATTAATCTGTTGTATTTTTTTGTTTTTGATTAATTGTTTAGTCTGGAAAATGTTACAACTAATGAAAGATGCTTGTCACAATCATCCAAAACTTGAGATGACACCTTCAAATTGCTCGTTTCGTCTGGTCGGTAGTCCAAAAACATAAATAAATTCAATTTAGAGTCACAGAAGACAAAGAAAAGTGTTCCTATTTAAGGAGCTGGAAGCAAGAATGGACAAATATTTTTTGGTATTTTTTAATAATAAAAGCAGACCTAATCAAAATCATTTCCTGGTGATTGAGCAAAGGTGTATTTTTTTCATATTATATTTAATTTTCATCTAAAACAATTACATTTACAAACAAACATGCTCGACCCACATACAAAAAAACAAAAACAAAAAAAAAAACAAAGGAAGCCAGACTTGACCAAAATAAATACAACGCTCAGCCTGTTTTATGAACAGAAAGGAAAAATGGTTTTGTTTTAACTTTTTGGGGAGTGCTCATTCGAAACGGGATTTGAGGGTTCTGCTAGAAAATGTTAACCATCAAAAACTTAATTTTCTGCATTCTGGTAAATTTTTCTGCACCATTTTGTGCCTTTTTTTGCATCAATTTATGGTGTAAATGTCTTTAATTTTGTCAGAATTAAAGTCCTCTGTTACTTTGATGGTTTTAGTGGAGCAACAAATGCACATGCTCGAAATATTTAGGGGAACATGTCCCAAAATCGACTTCTGTGACTACAGAAGTAATTGCCTAATTGCTTCTGCTTGAAATGAGTCTGTCTTTTTTAGGTTATATTTCCCTGAAATGACGCCTTTGTCCCGGTCATCTTGCCTTTGTTTTTCACCTTTCTCTCCTCCCCCTCCTGTAAAGAACAACACAAGCACATCTCACTTGCTCACTCAGTTGATATACTGTACAGAACCTGACATGTCCTTGCTACAAATGTCCTGTACATCCTGCTAACAATGCAGGCATCAGAGCTGCAGCTATTCTTAGTCAGCGAAGGTTAAAACACTAAAGAGGCACTGTTGTGCGTGTGATCCACACCGAGCCTGTAACTTATTTAGACGGATGCAGCAGGGGAGCCAAAACTTTCTAGGAAGAACACTTTAAACCTGGAAAGAGTTCCTCTGCCTGCCTGTCGCCACAGGGCTTTAAATAAGCTCTGCCAGCACATGTTTGCTGAGCAGTACAGTAAAAAATATATGAATCTTACTGTAGATATCCAAGCGTGTGTGTGCAGGTATGATAACTCACTTTATTTGGTGATTTCTTTTAACAGCAAATATGCATTTTAATGAGAGTATATGCAGGAATGAACACAAGACTAAAGCGTGGTTCAAAGTCAAATGGCCTTGAATTCTTGGAGATAAATAGCCACCACACTGAGGAACGAAGAGGCTTTTTGCTGCAGGATGTGGAAGAACATGAGATTGCTGTAAAAGAAAGCGTGTCGACCCGGGGGGACACAGCAGTTTAAAATAATTTAAATGAGGACAGACTCGTTGTGAAAGAAAAAAATATTTATTTACTTGTGAAAAGTCTTTGACGATTAGACCCCATCATGATGGCATCTATTCCAGGAGGTGGTAAAGATGTCTAGACCCATGTAGAGTCTAAATGCTGGTGTAGATGATGAGATGAGGTGAAGCGGGAGCTGAGGATCTGGATGTGAAGAGGAGTGGGCTTTTGGTGAGCTTGTCCTGGGCTCTGGATAAGGTGACTGGAGGTGAATGGGGTGGAGGAGGGCACAACGATTCCATCTAAGATGACAGCTGTTGGGAGCAGAGAGTAGAACAGATTTAAAGTGTGGCAGCAGCAACATGAATGGCTGAAGGAGATCGTGGCAAAGTTTGATTTGATAACCAGGAGAGGGAACGCGCATAATCAGCTGATTTAGTTGAAGCGGTGGGAGTGAGACAAAGAGAGAGAACTGTGAATGAATATAGCATAAAGGAAGTCTTCCTGATTGAACTTTCGCTGAACTTCATTTCAACTTGAAGGCAATGTGCTCTCCCAGGCGAGGCTTTTCCAGCTCCTTCTAGGGGATCCCGAGGCGTCTCCAGGCCAGATGGGATATTTAGTCCCTCCAGCATGTTCTGGGTCTGTCACAGGGCCTCCTACCAGTTGGAAGTGCTTGGAAAACCTCTAATGGGAGGCGCCCAGGAGGATCCTGATCAGATGCCTAACCCACCTTAACTGGCTCCTTTTGATGCGGCTCTACTTTGAGCTCCCTCCCGATGTTCGAGCTCTTCCCCCTATCTCTAAGGCTGAGCCCAGACACCCTACAGAGGAAACTCATTTCGGCCGCTTGCATCTGCGATCTCATTCTTTTGGTCACTACCCAGAGCTCATGACCATAGGTGAGGGTTGGGACGTAGATGGACCAGTAAATCGAAAGCTTCGCCTTTCAGCTCAGCTCCCTCCTCCTCATGACAGCATCACACACCAAACAACCTGTCCATCTCATGCTTCATTTTACTCTCACTTGAGATGCTTGAAGTCCTTCACTTGGGGTGATGAATCTCTCCCAAGCCAGAGGAGGCAATCCACCGTTTTCCTGCAGAGAACCATGGCCTCAGATTTGGACGTGCTGACTCTCATCCTGGCTGCTTCACACTCAAACCACCCCAGTGCATGCTGGAGGTCACGGATTGATGAAGCCAACAGAAGCACATCATCTGCAAAGAGCAGAGATGCAGTTCTCAGGTCCCAATTAATGGGATATTTACATTTAAATAAACTAAAAATAGCATGTTTGTGCATTGAGTCCTTGTAGAGCAGCAGTGTTGTAGACTGCAGTATTTCTAGCTCCACCTTTTAGTATCATATCAGTGCGCTGGGGGTGACGAAAAAACAGGACAGAATGGAGCGGTTCTATCGGTACCATCCACAACTTTTGACGATGGAAACACAAAAATAACTGCTCTAATGTATGACGAACTGAACCGGACTGCTTGGTGGAAACAAGGTTTAAGATATTGAGATATTAGAGCCCAGTCTCATGGCAAAGTTGTCGAAATCCGGCGCTTGGGCAGTGACTTGCGGCGTCAGAAACCAACAAAAAAAGGTGTCCCTTAATGTTGGCATGATACATGGCCGCTTGCCGTTATAGTTCAACAGCACCCGATGGTGTCAGGGGGAAACGTGGTGGGACAAGGACGACAGTTAAGGTGCCGAAAGTCTGAGTGGGGCAGGCGGGAGGGGTGGTGGATGGGTCCAAGAAACAGCGACTTTCACCTGAGAGAGTGGTGTTTGTGTCTCGTAAGATTCTAAAGCCAAGCCCTGTTCTTTTTTCCTAAACCCAACCATCGTGTTTGTTGTTGAAGGAAAAAACGCCAATTAGCGGTGTTGTACCAACATAGTGCTTTTATTTTGAAAGAGACTGTATGTAAACGTTAAATATCCTGTGAAAACAGATAGAAGACAATGCATGCAACAGGCAGAACTTGACATGGCTGCCCAGAATATTAACAACCAACACACCCAGGGTACCTTGCACATCGTATGTGGATGTCGAAAGTCCATGACCAAATGTCGATATGTGACGGAGTGAGAATGTGTTGGATATTTCACAGGATAAGAGAAAAGTTTGAGCTGCGATGGTGCTAAAGAAAAAGTCAGTAGATCATTACAGTAATTCAGATTCATCCTCTGGGGAACATGAATGTTTGTACAAAATTTAACGGCAGTCCATTTAATAGTTGTTGAGATTTTTCAGTCTAGATCAAAGTGGTGGATGATCAACAGTGCGCCCTTCGTGACTGAAAATCTGTTGGTTATCTACAGAGTTCACCTGCTGATTGAAGCCGTGTCGCTGCAGCTTCGCTATCACCCCAACCATCAGATCCACTGCCTAATGTACTGGTCCTGTTTCCTCCCATTTCAGGTTGAGCGTGCATGATTTTAATGTGTGTGGTGGTTTGGGAGTGGAAGAAGATGGAGCCTCACAGGATCTGATTATCGGGCCAAAATGATTAGGTTTGCTTTTAATGAATGCTGTTAGGAAGTGGCCACCGCAGAAAGAATGACTCATGGTATTG